TTTACTTATTTACTTTTTCAAAAAGTAAAGTAAATATCCCACCCCTAGTGCAGACAGTGGAACCAGTGCAATCAGTGTCAGTGTATGTACTGATTCAGTGAACACCAGTGTCAGCGTATGTACTGATTCAGTGAACGCCAGTGTCAGTGTATGTACTGATTCAGTGAACACCAGTGTCAGTGTGTATACTGATTCAGTGAACGCCAGTGTCAGTGTATGTACTGATTCAGTGAACGCCAGTGTCAGTGTATGTACTGATTCAGTGAACGCCAGTGTCAGTGTATGTACTGATTCAGTGAACACCAGTGTCAGTGGCATACTGTCAGTAATTCACTGTTTTCACCGAAACTGCACATCCCTAGTTCTACCCCCTCATCACATTCTCCTTCGTCCGCTATTCAAGCAGATTTACTTGGAAATTCTTAAAACAAGTATGATTTGACAAGATGTATCGACTTATGCTTTTTCAAAATATCGTTATATACATGTTTTGGATAACTAAAAGAGTAAGATTCCTGACAGAATTATATTCCATTGCTAATTATGTCGCTCAGTGAGAGAAATACATACGAGTTCAGAAAAAGGTGATACTCTAAGTGGAAAACTTTACTCAGTATAATTCTTATATAAAAAAACGTTTGACACAAAAGAAGAGATTTAGGGGTATACACGAAGATCATTACTTGATAATTAAGGATAACATAACTATCAGTTTTCGAACTTTGTCTATGTAATTTCGCTGACCAAACATACCATGTTAGTGACTATATGTATTACCAAAATAGCTGTAATAGTTACTAAAAGCCAAAAGAACTCGTGACAAAGTTCTTTTGTTATAACATTTAAATAATAATGCAATCCATGGCCAGTGCTTTATTTTAATATAAGAATTATACAGAGTAAAGTTTTCACTTAGAGTATTACATCTTGCTGAACGCCTATGGATTTCTCTTTGTGAATGATAGAATTAGGAGTAAAATATAATTCTGTTGCGCATTTTATTATCTTACATATCCAAAACATGCGAATAGCAGTATTTTGAAAAGACGTAACTCGATGCGCTTTGACAAGAGAAATTAGATCATATCTTTTCTGTCAAATCATTGTCTTTTAAAAATTTTCAAGTAAGTATAATTAAATGTCAGAAGCAGATGGGAAAATGCATGACAGATAATCACAAAATGAGCCTTAAGTGAAAAGAAAAATATAAATACTTCATCTGTTCTTGACTGATAGATTATCAAAGAACTATTTGTTTGAATCAAATATTAAGAATGATACTTTTTCTGACAGAATTAATATGGAAGCTCTATTTCAAAGAAAGACTAACGCAATACACGAAACTGATTCGTGTGATTCTGTTGCTGCGACTGAATTAAAGACACCGAAAAATGAATAAATAATGTGTGTAATGCTATTCTTTTTCCATTATGATTTAGTTATTATGTCAATATCTCCAGTTTTAGCAGACAGATTGTCAGTTTTCAAGGAAAATTCTAATTCTTGTGCTGATTTTTTTCCTCTCGGATTTCTACATGGCAATTTTGTTGTCAGTTTTGAATGGAAAAAGATTCCTTTCTCGTAGACAACGACTCGAATTAATGGCCTTTGTCTTTTACATTGACTGGCAATCGAGATGAATGATTTGAAGTTTATTATCACATATAATGTGTGAAGAAAATGAGTCGAGTGTTTATATCCATTGAATATTCCACTAATGTTCATTTTGCTGATCAACGTGATCGTTGAATGTTTGAAGAGAACTACACGATGGAATCGGTACGCAAGTTGAGAATAATCTTTCATTCAATATCAGTGAACGAAGAACTTTTGATCATCATTTCATGTAATACAAGCCAAGATATAAAAGATATTTCATAATTCAGAAGAGTGTTCCATGCCATTCCTCGATTGAAGAATATTTACAAGTGAAGATTTACACGTGATCAAAGATGAATCCTTTTCAATTATTTGATAGATATTTACCGATCAGTTTGACAACAGATCAGTAAGAATCTTCTCGTCATTCATCGAACATTAATTTGACATGCAACGAAGTTTTTCCGTAGCAAAGTCTCGACTCAACAAGTAAATCTTAATTTTATTTCATCGATTTAAAACAATAAAATTAACGCAGGTCATACCGAAATAGATCGAAAAAAAAAATTTAAATCATGTTTATCACATACTGGATGTGGAGTGTGGACGTGGATAGAGGTGGTATTTTAATTTTAACTTTAAGATGAAGTTAAAGTTCTACTCCTAATCAAGATCGTTTGGGACAATTTTTTCACTAATCAACAGTGAGATATTACTTTGAATCTAAAGCAAAAAAAGTCCATTTTAAATCTGGTTTACTAAGGTAAATAACTTCAGCAAAATATACACTATTGTCATGGAGATAATTGCTTCTCCTACAATCAACAATCTTTTAGAGCACAGCTATCATTACTGGGTCCTCGTATTTTCCTATCAAGATCCTGCTCATACCTGTACTTTTTTTAAGGGTTCGAAATGTCTGTTCTTGAGCAGTTCCTCGCAGGGTCCTCATCAAAGCTTGGCAGGATTATTCAGTTGAGGATTCTCACTAATCTTGTTTTATTCCTGGTAAGATCCTTCTCTTATATAACATAACTCTTGACAGGATCCTTGTATCAGGATCCAGAACAGATCTTGATTCAAATCTAATGAAATCTTGATGAAATCCTCCGTATGACTTTTGTCAGATTCTTGAACAGAATCGAAAGTGAATCCTGATAGGATCCTGCAATATCAATAAAAAAAAAAGTTCGAGCAAGAACTTGAACCAATTTTGGATAGAATCTTGACTCAAACCTGACAGAATTCTTAAGATTTATGATTCTTAAAGATCCTGCGAGATTGTCTCAAGAAATAGGCACGATTGAGGAAACTAATCAGTGTCCTGTAGAAATCTTTGCGAAATCCTCATATTTTCTCACCAAGATCATGATTAAAATTGATATTGTCTTGCAAAATGTGAAAACGCATATTCTTGAAAGGTTCTGAATAAGATCCTCATTGAAACTTTGCAGGATTAGTCGGCTTCATCCTCTGACTATTCTTGTTACTTTCTTGCCAAGATCCTTGTCTGATGTGAATATCAGTCCTGGCAAGATCCTGATACGAAGATTTGATCTAAATCCTGACGAAAATCTGATAAAATCTTGACAGAATCCTCTGTCATAATTTAGAGAGGATCATTGATAGGATCTTGAGTAAATTCTGATAGGATCCTGTATTCTCAACTCAGAAAAATATCTGAGCAGGAACCTGAAGAAATCCTGAACAGGATTCTGTTTCACCTTGAAAAATCCTGAAAACAGAAATTGCCAGGATTTGAAACAGCATCCTGACTAAAACTTGATGGGATCCTTCATATTCAGGATCCTGAAAGATCCCTTCAGGGTTTCTCAAGGAATGAGCAGGGTTGAGACTAGGGACACACCCAACCCCACACCCACACCCAGCCACACCCTCACTAACCTTGATTTGCATTCGAAAAATCGTCAGCATAACAAATAATATTATTATTTTGAGATTCTCAATACGTAGGTGGAATATTTTCGTTTGGTGATAAATCGATTTAATCATAAAAGGGTGTGGGTGGGAGTGTGGCTGTGGCTGTGGAGATACAGAGAAGCAAGCACCCACACCCTATTCAGTTTTTGTATTGGTTAGTCGATGTAAAATACATTATATATACATTCACTTATATACATACCGGTACGTATGCTTATATAGAAGATTTACATGCCACGATAAGTTTTTAAGATAAAAAAAAAAATTCTATATATTTAATACTTATATTAATTGCCTATCGGCACAGAAATTTATATATAGATAGTTAAAAAACAATAAATAAAAAATAAAACAATCTCTTCTAGATAATATAAATTTGTTTAATTTTTTCCTGTTCCGCACACTGATGATACCAACTCGAGAGAAGCACGATTTCTTACGGGAACAATGGTTGAAGGATCAGGCTTATTTTACTAAACCTTCATCCTATTATAACACTCTAACAACAATAGTGATCACGAGACCGACGACACCGACAACCCGATTCTCCATAGAATGGCAACCACTAACAACTGCCACGGCTAAGTGTCTACAAATCATACAAGAAGTATAAATCAAATGCTTTTAAAAAAGCTCAGAAAAATTCTTTATGGTAATGCTACAGATAATGAGTGTTCACAGAAATTTACAAAAAAAAATAGATAGTGAACGCTTGTATCCTATCTTAATACTCATTATGACATTTTTGGTACTAATCGTGCTATTGGCAACTCTACATTATATTTTCCAATGGAAGTCAAAAAAAATTTTCTTTGTTGAAAAATGACCTAAGAACAGCCATGATTTAGTTGCTTCTATGACAGCATTATTTACCAAAAAGAAATATTCTATGTCAATGCAAAACATGCAAGGGTTTTTACCATCAAATGGAAGTGATCAGTAAAAAGATAAAAAGAATAATTTCTTTTTCTCTCTAAGACAGAAAATAAACTTATGTTAGCAGGGTTATCATTGAACCTATTTATATTTTATAGATTCTGATCCCGAATCAAAATGAACCGTCTGTTTACTATTCAACTATCCCATACATAAGTCATTATGTAAATCCAAAACATCGCTGGTCCTATGTATGAAATTCTACTTGGTAATAGACACAATTTAATATTTGTTCATGTGTTTTTTTTCTTCTCTCATCTATTCAATCAGTTTGACTGTTTTATGCTTGAATAAATACATTCTGTTTACCGGCATATGCCATTATTCCTCTGTGGTTGAAACAATTTATGATGTTTTTTCAATTCTTCTGATTTCGTTTTAGATGAATTCATCAATATTTCAAAGTCAAATAGAATCTTCTTTCGATCGATTAGATCGGCTAAATTTACGATATCAACGAGAAAATGTTTTGAAAAATCAACATTATCAAGATTTAGTTCATCGACATTATCCACATTACAAATTATGTGAACCACCACAGAATTATAATTTAATCTTTATACATAAGCAGACATCCACGAAAATTTTAAATCATGTCATTCAGGTAGCTTTTGATACATATAACTTTATTCTTGATACACAACACGAAATGGAACCATGTCCATGGGCTAGTAAATCTATACCATCATTAATATAAATATCATTCAATTCTTTTAAACATTCACCACTGATTCTTGTTGAAGTTTTATACCTCAAATCTACTTTTACAACAAGAACACACGATTATACTAAAGAACAAAAAATAAAACAACTATTCAAACAAATTTTTTCACCGAATAAATATGTATTTGCATGGGGTAATCCAAAAGATAAGTTATGATAATTTTATCAATACGAATTATTCACCGAAAAGGACTTGAACCAATTAAATTTAATTGATCTAAATGAACGTTTTCAAGATTGGTATAAATTAACGCTTCCATGTTCATTAGGTCATCAAATGCGATCAAAGAATGAACCATATTCATTACAAACAGCTCTTTTTCTTGTTTTTGATGAATGGCTTAATACACGAATGCAATATACTTTATGGAATTGTGGCATTGATACTAATTTAAAAACGTACCATTGTAAATTTTCGTCGAATTCAAACAATAATTATTATCAATTTATTCGAGAAGAAATTCATATCGCCAAGAAATGCAAATTTATGCCGTTTCCAATTGTTTTGCAATAACAAAATTAATGAATTTGATGTTAAAACAATATCCATTAAGTGAGAACAAAACTTTTTCACCATCTCAAATTATTCATTATAAACGGAAGAAAAGACCTCAATCATTGGTGTAACTAAAAATATATATTTGTCTGTTTTATTTTTTTTCTTTGGCTAATAAACTGTATGAATATATATATGATTTAAATTTCTACTTACTATTCTAGATTACAATAAATATTACACTACTTACACTAGACTTCTCAATATGGCAACGAAATCATCTTATCGAAAATTAATTGCTCTTAGTCAAATTCTTCAATGTATATCTGATGCCACAGTAGATGATGAAATTCAAATGACTGAAACTATGGCAGTGATGGTAATAAAAATTATTTTGAACGTTTTCTTTTCATTACTAAGTTCTTTTTCATTTTGTTTTATAGAAGGATAATAAAGAAGAATTACAACGGTTTATTATTCGTGAAATATTTCAATTGTTGAATTCGGTCGATGGTGTTGCAAAATTAAAACCAGCATTATATCCTTGTGAAAGAATCAAGATATAACTTTTAAAATGTACTTATATCAGCATTTTGTTATTGTTCTTGTTTTTTTTTCATCTTGTTATATCTATGTCCTTGTAATTATGGTTCTATTTTCATATGACATATATTATTCATCTTAGATTATAAACATTCTTTCGA